CCAGACACGCTCTAACTAGACTCTGAAGAGACGAGAATGCCAGGAAGGGAAGAACCCAGACTTACGAGGACCCGTACACCCATCAAAATAAAGGTCCTTAAATATTGCGGCCGCTTCCACCTCATTGGTTTGCCAAAGCCACACTTAACCAGGGCCAATAGGAGGGCAACATCACTTATCCTGCCACACATAGTTGGCTAACTATGCTTTTGGGAAACGCACCCCTGGATTGGAGACTGGAGAGAGTTCAAACAGCCCCCGCTCACTCAACCGTCAGAGGGTGGGGGGAGGGGAGCATTGTTTTAATTGAGTAAACTTACTCAATTTCTTAAGAGTGTGTTAAATATATTAATGATATTGATTTGAATTAAGTAATATTTGTGGTTCTTGAAACAGATCAGTTTAATTCTCCATTCTCAAATATTTTGATAGAAATTTCACAAATATTTGGTTAGTCAAATACTAAATTCTTTTAGTGAAAAAAATTAAAGATCTCTGTAAATTTGAGATAAAATTAACTGTAGGATTTTGTCAATTATTTTAGTATGTTTAACTAAAAAAATCAAGTAAATGATATTCAGAGATTTTCTTAAGTTAATAAAGTTAAATATTACTGTGATATTTACTAAGCCACATAATGTCGCAAAAAAATGCAAACAAAGTTATCCATGGGGCATTTTTTTATGCTCTCATAAATATAAATATCTATAACTCCAAAACAAAATTAGATATTTTCACCAAATTTGACACATGTATCATGTATACATGACACTCTGAGGACACAATTTTTTTTGTGTTTTTGCCTCTTGATGGTGTTATAATAGAACAAAACAAGCAAATGGTACAATATAATATCATGATATTAAATGCTACACTTTACGAATGCATTGGTATACCATTACGAAACTCAGTATGTGTCTTCATCACCATGTCCTGAATGTACTCAAAAGGTTTCGGAAGAGCGCCACCTTTTGGTCGAAAGGAAATTCATTTTTTGTTGTTGAATAAATTAGCCTATTGCAATTAAATGTTTCGGGTTACTTGACTGTAAACCTGTTCCCTGAAAAAGCAGAACGAGATGCTGTGCTGCTTAGTGCATTGGGAACGTCTTTAATCGTGACCTGCTGTGAATATAGTGTGTAAACACGTCGATGGAATCGACCCGGAGGTAATATAGCCTCGGTCGGTGACGTCATCAGCGTGCACCTGCGACACGAGGCTATAATTAGATGAGCCACAGGTGCAAAGTCAGGATATTTTGTCTGAAGAGCAGTCCTGGGACATCATCAGCACGGCAATGCAGCACAGCATCTCGTTCCACTTTTTCAGGGAACAGGGTTACAGTCAAGTAACCCGGAACATTCCCTTTTAAAAGCTACAATCAAAGCGGCGCTTCTTAGCGCATTGGGAACGATAATGCCCACACCGCCGTGCTTGAAGGTGTCTGGACTCCTTACGGTTGTGCAGGTGTGCTCACAAGAACGCAAGAAATCCCTAGACATTAGCTTGTGATGTCGACTCATGGACGTGAGAGCCCGAAGTGGCATGAACATCCAAACTATAAAATCTTATAAATGTGTGCAGAGAGGACCAGCCTGCCACATCACAAACAAATTGCAAGGGGGCACCCCTTGCCAAGGCAGCAGAGGAGGCGACCCCCCAGAGAGGTCTTCAACCCTGCTCCTGAAGGACCCCCAACACTGCACGTTTTCTTTGTCTCCCTAATCAAACACACCTGATTCTAGGGATGGCTGACGCGAAACAGTCGTTCTGAAGCTTTGCGAGATCCCGAAACGCAGATGTTTCGAAACACTGATCCGAAGCGTGATTCAAAACACCTATGTCACGTGACTATGGCCAAACGAAGCCTCAAAGTGTTTCACTGTTTCATCAGGTGTGATCCGCCGAATCAGCGTTTGATTGACACGGTCGGGAACAGACCACACAATCGCACATCTTTTATAAAAGTGAAATCAACGCATATTGACCTCGTGGGTTTTTGTGAGAGGATCGAGTTTGATTTTGAGATAGCGGATTTTGGTGATATAGTGACATAGTGCGATTTGATTAGTTATAGGCTATTTAGGCTTACATTTAAATTTACACAACACGACTGATAGGCTAGAGACAGACAGAGTATACATATAGTGACACATTAATAGATACATATCTAGATTGATAGATAGATTCATATATTTGCCCAGAACTCATGATCCACTAACTTACTGGAAAGAGAGAGCAGTAATCTTTTCTCATTTGTATGTCCTAGCTAAAAAAATATCTTTGCATGCCAGCAACAAGTGTCCCTTGTGAGAGGATTTTTTCAAAGGCTGGAGAAATTATCTGTAAAAAAAAGAAGTAGGCTAAGTCCTTCAACAGCAGAGAAATTAATATTTTTGTATAAAAATCTCTAAAAAAGTGAGACATTGTGGCTTGATTTCTTTTATTAATATTCATTTTGCAGGACCAAAATAACATTATGCACAGTGAGGAGCCTATACTGTAGGTTACAAGATTCACATAAAAAAACAACACATTTTTTAATGGCTCGTCAAGGTTGTTTCAGATCAACACCTGCGAGTGACCACTAGGTGTCACCGTTGAGACGGGTGTCGGATTGATTCGAAGCCTCGAAAAAATATGGACCATTTGGTTCAACTGTTTCATTGCTTCACGAAGCCTCGATCTGCCCACCACTACCTGATTCAACTCATCAGCTCATTATCACATGGGTTAATGAGTTTATGAGTTGAATCAGGTGTGTTTGATTAAGGAGACAAAGAAAATGTGCAGTGTTGGGGGTCCTTCAGGAGCAGGGTTGAAGACCTCTGCTTTAGACAACAAACCAGCACAGGACTGAAAACACAAGGAGAATAAATAGGGAGAGCAAACAAAGCAGGTAACGTAGGAGGACAGGTGGGGCAAATTAATAACAAGGTAACAAGATGAGAGGGGCTAGACAATCGACAGGAGAGCACATGGCAGGCAGAGGGTTGCACTTCTCGCTACCTCCAAATAACAAAAGGCGTGCCCCAGGGGTCAGTCCTGGGGCCACTACTATTCATCCTTTATATAAATAACATTGATCATAACGTGTCTGATGTAAAATTTCATTTTTATGCTGATGACACTGTATTGTATTGCTCTGCACCCACCGCAGACCGGGCCCTCTCCCAGTTACAACTTGCTTTTAATACGCTTCAACATAATGTTTATGATTTAAAACTTGTTTTAAACGCAGATAAAACTAAAGTCATGCTTTTTTCAAATTCAAAATCTAAGTCAAATCTCCCGTCAATCCTTACTTCACAGGGTACGAAAATTGAACGTGTTTCTAAGTACAGATATCTTGGTATTTTAATTGATGAATCTCTCTCTTTTAGCCTTCATATTCAGCAGCTAGCAAAAAGATTAAAACTTAAATTAGGATTTTACTTCAGAATCAAATCCTGCCTTTCGTTCAAATCTAGAAATAGGCTGGTCGCTGACACATTTATGTATGTACTTGACTATGGTGATGTTCACAGGCGTATAGGCCTAACTATTGGTAAGCAGGGTACGCGGATGCTTACGGGCCCGGACCAATCAGGGGCCCGCGTGACTGGAAGATATTGATTGACAGCCAGGGGCGGGGCCCCCTATCACATTTTACTACTTTTAGTCTGATCGCATTTAAATTTTTAGCGAATTTATTTGAATAAATAATGACAACAACATATTTTACTGATCATTAAATACATGTTTGAAATGAACAATGATGGATTTGGGTGTCATTTGTTTCGAATTGGGACTGGGGAATCCCCGGGTGAACATGTATTGCGTGCAAATCAGTAATAAACTTTGAACTTGAGACAGATATGGAGTCGGCAAATTACAAACACAAAAGTAGCTTTCAAAAGCGCAAACGAAAAGAGGAATTTGACAAATTAATTAATAAATTACCAAAAATAGGAAGCTTCTTTAAAAAGATGACATAGAAGGGGGGAGATTGAGATTGAGATGGAGCTCAGCAAGAGAGTGAAGCACCTGAAGCGACTGTTGGTAGTAGCAGCAGCTCCGTGGCTCCCTCTGCTTGGAACAATTTACAGAAATCCATGAAACTTACTGAGCTCGTCTCATTGGTCGCTTTTAAGAGGTTGTTGATTGACATGGAGGCAGCCACATCTGGCTGCAGATGTTTTACCAAACGTGTTTTTAGGATTGTGGTTGATTTTGAAAGATTTGCTGTGTCAGTTGTTTTATGTTTCTAGTGTTTTTGCATATTTTATGTTTGTATGTACTGTATGTGTGGTATAGTGGCCTACTACTGCCTGTCTTGGCCAGGACACTCTTGAAAAAGAGATTTTTAATCTCAATGAGTCTCTTCCTGTTTAAATAAATAAATAAAACATGACAAGCCATGTGCCAAACATGACAAAAACACAAGCACATGGCCAGTAAAACAAATCACCAGCCATGTGCTCACAAAACGAGACATGAACATGTAGCCAATGAGAAAACTCATAAGCCACGTGTTCACACAAAACATGACAACATGAAAGCACACAGCTACATGAAACACAGACAAGACATAACAGGAGTGTCAGGGCTCTATCTATCACAAAATAGACTAGACAGAAGTGACAGAACCCTGACAGACTCAGACCTTATAACCTTCTTTTTTCATCTTTTCTGCAGTGACTTTATGGCTTATATGGAGAATCTTTAAGCAGAATTTGGTTATGGTCCACCTAAGTTATGATGCTCAATAAAGAATTGTTTTGGAATCAGATCTCAACAGAAATTAAACAGAAATTAAAATCAGTTTCAGTAAGCCATAAAGAAATGTTAGTTTGAGAAGTAATTTCAGGAAATTGTCAAGGATACATTTTCTAAATGTCACAATAAAACATTCACATAATTATGTCAAATTCAATTTCAGTTTGGTCTTTTGTATTAGTAATAATTCGGACAGATTGCTCCTAAATGTTTGTGGGACATGACTTTAAAAGACTAGCAGAATGACTCAAGCAGTTTTCTCTTTTTCAGATGCAATAGAGGATTCAGATGATGTGAGGATTGTCCTGCTGGGAAAAACTGGAGTTGGGAAGAGTGCAACCGGAAACACCATCTTAGGGAGAGAAGCATTTAAAGAAGACATGTCTCAAGAGTCAGTTACTAAAGAGTGTCAGAGAGAGACGGCTGAGATTGATGGCAGACTCATTACTGTGATTGACACTCCAGGACTGTTTGATACTAAAGTTAGTCATGAAGAGATCCAGAGAGAAATCAGCAACTGCATCTCCATGATTCTGCCTGGACCACATGTGTTTCTGTTACTGATACCACTGGGACGATTCACTCAGGAGGAGGAAAACACAGTGAAGAAAATTCAGCAGACTTTTGGTGAAAACTCCCTGATGTACACTATTGTGCTCTTCACCAGAGGAGATAATCTGAAGAAGAAGACCATTGAAGAGTATCTGGATAAACCTGGATCTGCTTTGATGAAGCTCATCGGACAGTGTGGAAACAGATATCATGTGTTCAATAATAATGCGACTGGAGACCGTGTGCAGGTGTCTACATTACTGCAGAAAATCAACGACATGGTGACAGCAAATGGAGGGAGTTACTACTCATGTAAGATGTTCAGACAGATGGAAAGAGAGAAACAAGAAGCACAAATGAAGAAGCTAATGGACAAAATGGACGAACTGACGAGAGAGAGAGAAGAACTGCTGGCCAAACATGCAGAAGAGAAAGAGAAAATAAAGATGAAGATTGAGGAAGAAAGAAACATTCATGATGCAGAGAAGAAGAGAAGAGAAGAAGAATTTGAGAAAAGGAGGGAGAAAGAACAAAACATGTGGGATGAATCTTATCAGAGACTTAAAGAAGAGAGAGATGAAATCAAAAGAGAGAACGAGAGAATAAAAACAGAGAAAGAAGATCTTCAGGTCAAACATGAAGTAGAAATGGAAAAGATGAAGATGATGATGGAGGAAGAAAGACAGAATCATGACATAGAGAGGAGGAAGAGAGAAGAAGAAATCAGAGTGAATGAAGAACAATACAAAAGAGAAATTAAAATAGAACAAGAGAAATGGGAGAAAAAGATACAAGAGGAAAAACAGAGAGGAGAAGAAGAATTTGAGAAAAGGAGGGAGAAATAAAATAAAATGTGGGATGAATCTTATCAGAGACTTAAAGAAGAGAGAGATGAAATCAAAAGAGAGATTGAGGGAATAAAAAGAGAGAAAGAAGATCTTCAGGTCAAACATGAAGTAGGAATAGAAAAGATGAAGATGATGATGGAGGAAGAAAGACAGAATCATGACATAGAGAGGAGGAAGAGAGAAGAAGAAATCAGAGTGAATGAAGAACAATACAAAAGAGAAATTAAAATAGAACAAGAGAAATGGGAGAAAAAGATACAAGAGGAAAAACAGAGGAGAAGAAGAATTTGAGAAAAGGAGGGAGAAAGAAAATAAAATGTGGGATGAATCTTATCAGAGACTTAAAGAAGAGAGAGATGAAATCAAAAGAGAGATTGAGGGAATAAAAAGAGAGAAAGAAGATCTTCAGGTCAAACATGAAGTAGGAATAGAAAAGATGAAGATGATCATGGAGGAAGAAAGACAGAATCATGACACAGAGAGGAGGAGAAGAGAGGAAGAATTGAATGAAAAAGAAGAACGATATAGAAAAGGCATCAAAGAAAAAGAGGAACAAATGCAGAAACGTCAGGAGGAAATGCTAAAACAGATGCAAGATGAGAGGATGAAGTGGGAGGAAGAACAATGTAAGATTTATGAAGACAAAATTAAGTTAATAGAACAACAGAAGCAAGATGAACTAAAGAGAGCAAAACCTTCAAACTATGAAGAAGACAGAAGAAAAGAAATGGAGAACATGATAATCTGCTCTCAAACAGCCTCTTCTCTACAGGTGAGTGTCCATGTAAATCAAGGGTCAGGAGCATTTACAGGTTTTACAGTATAACCATTAAGAGTTGAGTTCAGATTCCCTCATTCACTTTTTTTTTTCTGTATGGACAATACTACACATTTACAACCTACAATCATATTCTACACACTGGACCTGCGAATATATTATACAGAGAATTACATTTTCATCCCTTTCAAAGGACAGGTTTAATTAATTTTGTTTATAATCTCCAAAATACTTATGGCAAAACTATTTCTTATCTAAATTTTCACTGTCGTAGTTCTTCATTATAATATATTTTTTTCTTTCTAATCTGTGTATGAGGCTATTATCTCTGCTAAAGTGACAATAACAAATTACATTTATTTGTTGTATGTGAATGTATTTACAGAAAGAAGAAACTCGTCAAAACCAAAAGCTTGGACCAAAACCCAATGAACAGCTCAAAGATCTCTATGATAATCTAGATCTGACAAAAAAACGTCAAGATAAAATGAAAACGGCAGACATTCTTCAAATCACCAAGTCTTCATTTCAGTCTCAGGAGCCACTGGAAGAGAATGAACTGGTAAACTCATTCCTACAAAAGCTGATTAACTTGAACTACAGAGCAAGATACACAGCCATAAAACACAGAAAGAAAGACAGTGCAAACCCTGATATTCACCCAATGGATGTTCAGATGGCCGTGTTTCATTGTGCCGATGGTCTCCTGAAGCAGCTGATAGTGACTAAACTCTCACAGTGTCAGTATTCACTGCCTCTGCTTGTTCCTGATCCATTCACACAACAGATTGAGTTTCCTCTCTGGACATTCAGACAAATCAACAAGAGCTGGAAGAAGAAAGACTCAAATAATGAATTCATCAGTCAAACTCAACCGGTCTACAAGGCTGAGACTCCAATGGTGGCTTTCTTCAGGTTTGGTTCAGTGTCTTCCTCTAAGTCTCAGCTGATAAACGGCCTCATCAATGAGAGAAACCACACGTTCTTCCACAGGAATTGCTCAGGCAGCAGCAGAACCAGATTACTGATGGACGGAGTGGTGGAGATCGCCTGGTACTGCCCTTCTGGGAAAAAGACAGATTCATTTGATGACTGTGTTGCTTTCTGTAATCTTCATGGTGATGCAGCAGCCAATGAGAAACAATATGAGATTCTGACCAGCATGGCTTCAGTAAACGTCCTCTTCTTACCAGATTTTGAAAAGAAGAACCACTACCAGAATTTGGTGAGATCACTCTTCAAATCTCCCCAGCCTCTCATTTGTCTCCTCATTGACAATCACTGTGATGAAACTGAACGGGGGAATGGAAAATTCATAATTGGTCTTATGGACAAAAACCAATCTGATTTATCTAATCAGATTAGAGAGACTATCAAAATGACTCTGACTGAGCAGAAAATGACCTTCAGACTTGAAGATGTGGCCAAACACACAGGGATCAGAGTAGATGAGGAGGATCCAGAGTGTCGGATAGGGAAAGAGGCAGCGGTCCAGATCATGGGATTACTAAGAGGAAAGGATCCATCAACAGTGAAAGAAACAATCCTGCCCTGTCAGGGGAAACTGTGGCATGACTGGTGTAAAATCAACAAAGAGCTGCATCATCTAGAAGGAGAAAATCTAGAGGAAGATAAAAGTACCAAACTCAAGAACATGAGAGAAATAAGAGAAAAGCAAGTGGCCAAAGGACTGAGTGAGTTCATGAAAACATTTATTGAAACAATGAAATCACAGAGAGACAATGAAAAAAACTATTTCCTCAGATGGATGATGAAACTGTTGGATGACTACACTTCAGAAAAGCTCTTTGATCTTCATAAAGAGTATGACAAGAAATGGCATGAACTCTCAGCACTAAAAAAAAAGCCTGACAAACTAGATCAACTGCAGCATGAACAAACAAACCTGGAAAAAATATCAGTGCAAATCAATAGTACATGTTTTGGCTTTGAGCACATCCTGAGAGAGTTTGGTCAGATCTATGAATCGTGTTCATCTGTGAAGAAGTACAAGAAAAACAATCTGCAGTTTGACTTCTGTTCTCTCCCGAGTCTTGCAGCAGAGATGATGACCTCTGGATTTCCAATGGAGCTGATGGATGGAGATGCTGCTCATATTCCCCTGACCTGGGTCACTGCTGTTCTAGATGAACTTGTTAAGAAACTGGGAGACCAGAAAGTCTTTGTACTGTCTGTTTTAGGGACTCAGAGCTCTGGGAAATCCACCATGCTGAATGCCATGTTTGGACTGCAGTTTGCCGTCAGTGCTGGAAGATGCACTAAAGGAGCTTTCATGCATCTAGTCAAAATATCAGAGGAGATGAAAACTGAGCTGAAGTTTGACTATATTTTGGTTGTTGATACAGAAGGACTTCGTGCACCAGAACTGGCTGGAAGGTCAACAACACATCGTGACAATGAAATGGCCACATTTTTTGTCGGTCTTGGAAATATGACCCTGATCAACATCTTTGGAGAAAACCCATCTGAGATGCAGGACATCCTTCAGATTGTTGTTCAGGCCTTCATGAGGATGAAGAACGTCAGACTGAAACCCAGCTGCATATTTGTTCATCAGAATGTCTCAGATATCACAGCTGGAGAGAAAAACATGGAGGGAAGGAGACGACTGCTGGAGAAACTGGATGATATGACAAAACTCGCTGCTAAAGAGGAAATCTGTGATGCAGAAAGATTCAGTGATGTGATTGCGTTTGATGTACAGAAAGATGTGAAGTATTTTGCTCAGCTGTGGGAGGGCAGCCCACCCATGGCACCACCAAACCCAGACTACTGTGAGAACATTCAAGAACTGAAGCAAACTATCCAAACACATGCTTCAACATCAGATGGCATAATGCTGACACACCTAAGAGACCGTATTCAAGATCTGTGGGAGGCTTTGCTTAATGAACAATTTGTGTTCAGCTTCAAAAATTCCCTGGAAATCGCAACATACAAGAAACTAGAGACTGAATACAGCAAGTGGACATGGAGCCTTCGGAGTGCCATGCTGGACATTGAACACAAGCTTCACAACAAAATAGAAAATGAAGCAATTCATAGTGTTGAGGAAGCCGATCTTCAAACAGAACTGAATGCCAAAAGTGAAGAAGTGAAAAAGACCATGGCTGTATTCTTTGAGAAAGACAGAGACGCAACTTTATTGAGTCAGTGGAAAGGTTTCTTTGAGATAAAAATCAAACAGCTTCAAGAAAACATTGTGAGAGAAACTAAGAGGAAATTAAATGGGGTTCTTCAGCAGCGTCACCTGAAGAAAAAGATGGATGCTGAGAGGACACATCATGAAAACACACTCTTTAAAAAGAGCAAAGAACTTGCTTTAAAATTCAAAGAACAAGGAAATGATGAAAATTTCATGAAAACACAGTTTGATTCTTTTTGGAAACAACAGACAGCTGAGATCATCAGAGACACTCCTTCAGTCAAAGATATTGATATATTAGGAGATGTGAAAAACATCCTCATTCAGAACTATAAAAGTCTCCCTTTAGACCGTATGAAAGAGAGCAGTGAGCAGAAAGATATGATCTATTTGCCAAGCTATTCAGAATATGTGAAGTTAAAGAAATCCAGTGGATATACAGCACCCTTAAAAAATATGTACAAAGGAGCTAAAGAGATGATTGGTCTTGTTTTATCTGAAGAGGATGAAGTCCAGATAAGATCTTTAATCACAGACATCGCTGAACAAACTGATAAAATGATTCTGTCATATAACATTTCAAAGATGGGCTACAGCAACAGCTGCATTCAACAACTCATAGATTACATAAAGGCAAGATTAACACAGCATGAGGAAGGAGCAAAAGTGAAATATGTGTTTAAGAGTAAATTCTTTGTGGATCTGGTACTTTTCATATGTCACAGAACAAACAAGACATTCACTGATCAATACAAAATGTTCAGGGAAGCCAATGATCCTGTTCTTTATTTTGAGAGAAAGAGAGAAGAGTATTACAGGATTTTCCAGAAATACTGTCAAGGAGCATCATCAACTGCTGTTTTTGGTGAATTTGTTTGTAATAAACTTAAAGAGCCCATTCAGCAGAATATCTACAAAAAAACTGCCAGAGCTTTAGCAGATGAAATGAGAACAAACTGTGAATCACTAAATGGGAACCGATCAAAACTGGAGAAACACATCTTGAGGAGACTGGCAGAAAAACATGATTTCAAAGCTTATATGACCTACATTAAAAACCCCAAAGAACACTTCAAGAATTTCATCAGAGATGAAGTCAGTCAATACATCTCTAAAAGATTTAAAGACAGTGTTCGACCCAAGATGGAAAACAGCATTAAACAGCTGCAGCAGAAGATCACAAACGCAGCACATGAATTCACCAATTTGTTTAATATAGGTGCTGATATATGGTTGCGTCAATTTGCACTCCAACTCTCTGGTGTGCTGGTATTCTCTCTAAATAACCTCACTGGAGTGAATCATGATGATGTTAATGTCAGCTTCCTAGAAGATGTGATTAGAGAAGAACTTCCTTCTATAATATCTGACATACGCAGTAAATTCAGCACAGAAACGTTCCCAGTAAAGCTGGAACACACAGACAGACCAGATGAGCTTCTGATCGATCACCTCTGTCAGTGCTGTTGGGTTCAGTGTCCTTTCTGTGGAGCGATCTGCACAAACACAATAGAAGACCATCCTGGAGATCACAGTGTTCCTTTCCATCGTAATAATGGACTGAATGGGTGGTTTTACAGAGGAACAATAAACCTATCTCTCAGCATCTGCACATCAGCAGTAGCCAGTGATCGATCTTTCTGTCCAAATAGCTCAGATGATTCAGTCCTCTGGAAGAAATACAGAAAAGGAGGTCCTAAATATTCTGCATGGAGTATCACCCCTGATCTCTCTGAGCTGCCGTACTGGAAGTGGTTTGTGTGTGAATTCCAGGAAGATCTGGAAAAGCACTATGGAAAAACCTATCAGGGACAAGGCAAGATTCCAGCTGAATGGAGAAGATACTCTCAAGATGAAGCTATTGAGAGTCTGGATAAATACATTTAATGAAACAATTAACAAGGACTCTGATACACAATACTCAGCTGAAATGAGATTAGGTCCATACTTCAGTGAGTGAGCGAGGCATATACTAAACTAAATATAGCACATTAAAACTGCTCATAGAAGGAGTTCACAGAATAAATTCAACATTTTAAAAGAAAGATAATCAAAATGTTCTGTTCAACACAGCAGAAACTGATCTATACTTAAAGACAGTAGATATTTGAAGAATATAATATGTACATTTTTATTTCATTAATTTACTTTTACACTAGTTTGTGGATGTATTGCCAGATGTATTGTTCTGCTTTACAAATGTCATTTATTCAGACTCGCAGCTATGACAAAATGCATTTTACTATATTAAAGTAACCAAAAGCATGCAGAGTTGAAAATTATACATCATTCTGAGAGTAAAACTTGCTCTCCGTTCTCAGTTAAATAGTAAAGTACTGGCTGTCCATTACTCTTAACATACAATACATTTCTCCCTCTCCCTGCTCCTCGTCTATGGAGACGTCCTCTCCTGGTGATGCTTAAACATTCTTTGCCTGCTAGCTCATGATATTCTTTATACTAATGTATTCTTGGTGTTGATTATATATACTTATATCTGAACAATAAATCTCTGAAGAAGCTTAAACATGGACACTGTCTTCTGTGTCTGTTTCTTCTCACGCCTGTGCATTCCTGATTGAAGGGGGAAATAGATACTTTTGATAAAATGCTGCAGAAAACGAGAATGCAGCAAATATAATTATTTATTATATTAAAATACATTATAGATTATATTAAATAGATAATAGAATTAAGATGACAACAACCATTAAACTAAACCAGGATTGTGACAAGTTAATGCGTGGCACCTTTAGACATTCTTGTTTACCATATTATCAGAAAATTAAGAGTATTTCATAATAAACAATGGTATAATTTGGAAAATTATTTAGAGATGGCAAAGGAAAACCAAAAAACTTTGAAAGTTAACTTTGCTTTGTCCTCATGAGAGTTTTGATTATTAGATTATATATGTTGTATATTACTTTGTGCAAATTATAAAATGGTCCATGGTTTTCTTAAGAGGTAAACCCCTAGTGTGTTTTCTCAGTCCCGAGTCCCTCTTCTATGTGCCATACAGGTGTCTAAATGTAAAAAAAAACAAAAAACATCTGATCTAACTTTTTTTAATATTCATATTCAGTTGGGAGAACTGCTTTCTGATTCCCAACTGATTCTCATCTCTGATGACTATTTTGAGTGTTTAGGATTTTTTCTTTTATAAAGTACTACGGCTGCGGATGGAAATGTATAACTGCTCCAAAAAGTATTGTCTGGAGCTCCACTGGGAAGGAAATATAGAGACCGGACCTCTTGAAACTTTAATTGAATACCCCTGGAGTAGAGCAGAGTAGACGTGTTACTGCTTACGGTTTTGTTCTACTTATGTCAAATGCAAAACACATTTATATGGACGCATTGGATTTTTCTTCTTCCGGTAGCTCAACTAAAAATGTGTTCAATTTGGTGTTTTCTACCAATATACTGCATTATAAGCATGTCACGCAACGTTGTCAACATGGATTCAGTTTCTTCAGCATCTCAAAAATGTAAGTGTTCTTCATCTCTGCTTTGTTGATGAATCTGCATATGACGACATCATCCGTGTTCTTCACAGGCACATGCGCACTTTGGTCAGAGTGAAATAGATGCGATTAAAGTCTTTACCTGTTTATTGCGATTAAAATCGGCATGCACCATATATTTTACTACGATTGAGTTTAATCGCATCAGTTTGGTCAAAGCATTGTGTTTACACGAGGTAAATCTTAATTGCAATGTTGCCTTAATCTCATTATTTCAGTTCATTTCAACAACAAAAATTGGTCCTCACAAACAATTTTCATAATAAATAATTTATTCAATTAAGATTCACATTATGAGGGTGCATGTAAATGCAGTCAATTTTAAATGATAAAGAGTCAAAGTAATTAAATGGTACAGTAGTTCATCTCTATGAAGAATGTAACCACTTTGACACTAGCCGCGTTTCCATTACAGATTTGCGCAAAACTTTTGCGATTTTTTCTAAATATCGATAAAAAGCTATTGCGAAATGACGGCGTTTCCATTAACCGATGTTATGCGATTTTGGACGTTTGTAGGTTTATAGCACATGTGAATAGACGTGCAGCCACCGCACAAGACATTATTATTATTACAGTTTTTCTCGATTGCTTAAACACATTTCTTGAAACTATGCCTCGTATTCTCAAAACAGTAAACACAAATCCATAACGTCTCACCCAATTCCCCAAACATCCTATTTTCAGGTCAAAATGAAGCTCTACACTCAAAACCATTCACTCTTGCTGAAAAACCAAACTTTGCCCTCAGACAGGACACACAAGCCCTCAAAAATACACACACTACAACATAGTCTTACACACTGGTGCTATAAATTCAAAACAACATTTCCAAAACTGGTAATTAATGTTGCTTGTGGTCCCCCGCCCTCCCTCCCCCCCCCCCATCTTATTTTTTACTCTCTCCTACTCTTACGTAAGATGTGTGTGAGCATCATATGACGGTAAAAGAGCACACACAAACCTTATTCAAGTATGGAATTGTATTGGAATGGTAAAGAGTGTTGGTACATGCCTCCACTCAAGGATACAATATGATGAACAAGTCTAAGAATGTTCCACATATGGTTGAAATACCATCATTGGCCTAGAAAGATAACATTCTGGGAGTCAAGACTATAAAGGAGAAAGGATGCCCTTCACTGTCACACTCTTCAGCCACTCTGTGAAAAACGAAAAATGAACGGTTGTTGTATTTTTAAAGCGCAAAGTTGAACAACAAATTTTCAATTTGAACTGTAGCCTACTACACACCAAATGCTGCGCAAAAAAAAAAAAAAAATATAGACGAATTTTCAGATTTTTGTTTATGACTTTTTGCCCCTTTATTAAACATTTTAAATATTCACAAATTAATATGAAAAACATGTTGATTTTACTGGTTTTCTAAGGCCAAATTAGAACCCGATGATATTTTTTCCGCAGTGCTGAATAAGAAGAGCCATGTCTCTGGAACCATAGCCTACAGAGAGGTGATTTACAGGTGATTATAGGCTAATGATAATAAATGTGTCTGAAACAATAACGAGGCATTTTAATTGTTTATTAATAAACTAGTGTTAGTGCCGACTGCAAACATATTTTCATCTCCACTGTAAAGCGGATGCGCCTTTAGAGAGAAATGCACCTTTCATATGGATTACATAATCAGAAGGTATTTGCTTTCGATTTGAATTTGTTCGTTTAAAAGTGGAAATATTTATTTTATATTTTCACCTCTGGATAGACATATATTTTCACCTCTGGATAGACAGCATATTTATTTTCTGTTTTCACCTCTGGATAGACAGCATATTTATTTTCTGTTTTCACCTCTGGATAGACATATTTATTTTCTGTTTTCACATCTGGATAGACATATATTTATTTTCTGTTTTCACCTCTGGATAGACATTTATTTTCTGTTTTCACTCGATAGACAGCATATTTATTTTATATTTTCACATCTGGATAGACATATATTTATTTTATATTTTCACATCTGGATAGACATATATTTATTTTGTATTTTCACCTCTGGATAGACATATATTTATTTTTTATTTTCACCTCTGGATAGACAGCATATTTATTTTCTGTTTTCACCTCTGGATAGACAGCATATTTATTTTATATTTTCACCAGTGGATAGACAGCATATTTATTTTCTGTTTTCACCTCTGGATAGACAGCATATTTATTTTTTATTTTCACCTCTGGATAGACAGCATATTTATTTTCTGTTTTCACCTCTGGATAGACAGCATATTTATTTTTTATTTTCACCTCTGGATAGACAGCATATTTATTTTCTGTTTTCACCTCTGGATAGACAGCATATTTATTTTATATTTTCACCAGTGGATAGACAGCATATTTATTTTCTGTTTTCACCAGTGGATAGACAGCATATTTATTTTATATTTTCACCAGTGGATAGACAGCATATTTATTTTCTGTTTTCACCAGTGGATAGACAGCATATTTATTTTCTGTTTTCACCAGTGGATAGACAGCATTCTTTGCAAGCTTAATTGCACACGTCTTTTCCGTATTGTCATTTTACTTTTATGACTTAAAATATATAATATAAAAGCTGTGTGCAAATTGAAATATGATCTTCATCATATCTCTTTACATAAAACAATTCTCAATTATATACCTAATATTATAACACCAATAATTCATGCAAACTGCATTCACAAGAACCACCTTGAAAATATATATTGTTCAGATCATATCACTATTTTTTGTGACTTAAATTCAGCCTAGATCAATGGACTATAACGTTGTGTCAATACAACAGACTTGTACATGTTAATTGACCACAGTTTTTTGCCTTGCCCATTTGGATATTCAATTCTTTTTTTTCTTTTTTGTAAATGTAACCACTTCTGTTTTTAAAATATACGTAGATTCACATGTTCAGACAATTAACCAAACAATCCAGATCAAATTAACACTTCATGGTTTTGCAATATTTATTGGAAATTACACAATCTAATTAGTAAAATTAGTCAAATCTGACCATCAGAATGAAGATGCCACAGTCAGGCCTGTAAGGTTGTGGGGGAAGTCCCTATTTCAAGAGAATAAACTATAGACTATAGACCAAATAAACTATTGCACACACCACACCTCATTCCTGCCCCCTAAAACTGGCAGTCTGGGCAATGCTCAGGAAATTCAGGGTCTGTATAAAACCCTCGCAGGTCTCCACGTCTTCCGTTTCCACGGTAACGTTACCCCACCCAGTCTTTGAAAGAACATCTGCAATTTCTGCATTGTACAATTTTAAAAGGGACACACATGTCTCTTACAGCCTGGGGCAGTTTTTTGACATTCACCACACCTAAAGCAAGAACAGATGTACAATATGATTAGAATGAGCATGTTTATATTTAACTATATTAGAGTACAAGTGTTCTATTG